ATAATAATAATAATAATAATTAAAAGTTAGCCTAAGTATACAACACCAGTCGTACGTCTCGTTGTCCATTGCTAGTCATCATTCAGGCGCGAAACAACACCTGCTGTCCTCCGCGCTAATCAGGCATTCGCACGTACCATGTAAGTACACAATGGGCCGATAACGAAGACCCGATAATGGCAGGGTAGCTCGTACGAATTATTCGTAAATTTCTTAACAATGCGGTCGTCTATTGTGGCATCGAATTGTAGTAATAATAACGTACATGGTGATGCTGATGTTACCTAATTTTATTGTGTATGGTGTTTTTTATAGCCAGTGTGGACTTTTAAATATGATCTGGTATTTAAATATAGTCTGGTTTATAGTATTAAACAATAATTTTTTCATTTAAAAATAGTTCTATACAGTTTCATCACAGTGTGTTTTAATGAACATTTAAAAATTACTTATTTACACTTTAAATTTTATTTAATTCCTCCTTCAGAATGTAACACATCATTTTGCTGGAAAAATTTTTTTGAGTACTAAGTCGTAAGTATCAGAAAAATAATACGTAAAACAAATAATGTATTACATTTTTTAGAAGGACATTATAAACGTAAAGTATTTGTCCAAGTCAGTATTATAATGAGCAGATGAGCAAATTGTGATATTGTCGAGAATTGAATATTAGGACAGCATCAATATATATTTACCTTTCCGTTTATTTACAAGTTAAAAAGAATTACTTTCTTCAAGGTGTATTAACAAAATAATTTGTTGGTACGATGGTGTAAAGGCTCACTTCGGAGAAAATAATTTACAAACAACTATAACATACAAGTGCACGCCGTCTACTCGGTGAAGTTCGCTAATTTGTCAAACAAAGCCACTTTGCTAACTAGTACTATTTTAAAATCCGAGGGAATCTTGTTTTCCTCCTGCGGGTGGGTTCATCTCGATTAGTGCGTCACTTAAGAAACGTGGACTCACGCTTATGGAATTAAGGGAAAAAAGGGCACGTTTAAATACTGTAAAGTAAATTTACTGATGGATCCTGTGATTCTAGTAATTTTTCGTGTTTCGATAAATATTGTTGAATATTTCTTTTTATTGAGTTATACAAGACAGTTTTATCAGAGTAATTGAGTATAGGATAACAAATATCTGCACGTATGATAGAGTTAAGGTTCTAGCATTTTCGAACCTTATTTTTTGTTTTCAATACTTTTTTCACTTATCTGTTGTATAATATAATTAAATTATCATTTTAAAAAAATTCTTAAGTCATCGCACTCATTATCAATCACAAGTATTAATTATTATTTTTTATATAGTAAATACTACATGATATCCTGATAATTTACAATAAAACATTATTAATTAGAAACGAAGCGATCTTATTTGAGAAATACTTTGCGGTAACAAGAATCGACCTAAAAAAAGATACAGTCAACACTTCCATTTATGTTCTTGTTTTCAGATAAAAATGTACACGTGTCACTGCAGTCGGTCTATCGCGTGGGTACACATATACGCAGGACTTTTATGTCCAAAGGCTTGTTACGATTCTTTCGATCAAATGTAGTAGCAGCTCCAAGATCGTAAATTTTTGATGCAAGCATGATTTCGTAGATACATCTTGACACGTGGAACTGGTGTACTTTAACAAGTGTGGATAAGGTAAATTCTGGCATAAGTAGTGCTTGGTATAGAAACATTTTCCGGATACAATACCAAACATAGCACAACCTTTACTATTCATAACAATATTTTTCAACCCTGTTTTGCAAAAATTTATATTGTGATCTAAAATTTAAAAAAATTAACTACTTCCAGTTAAAATAATTTTCACTCAATCCAAGTTTTATATCTAAAACCTGAAAAATTCTTATTGTTTTTGGATAAATTTGTTGTAAATAAAAAAAAAAATTTTTTTTTAAATGTTATTCGTATTATACTCTTAGTCAACCTAAACATCCGAACGAAGCTAAATATAATCTCAAACGACCGCATATCGCTAAGTCGGTAAGTAATTGAAAAACTGAGTAGAATAACAATAGGTTCAAGTTAGCTCGAGCGTTTTATGAAAATAAAGCAATTTAAAGTTACAATCGCAAAAAATGAGCATGTCGAACTTGCCTAGTTTTATTTTGATACAAGGTAATTCTTCCGCGTAACTTTTTTTCATCCAACCCGTGACCTCGGTTTAAACAGTTTTTTTAAATTTTATTTTAAGGGTCGGTAATGAAAGCTACGCTTTTGACTCTTGTTTCTCGATCGGATGCGACACAGAAAACATACAGTTGCGATCGCTTGGGAATTGCAACTTTCAGCTGTACAGCCCGATCTTTTTGTTTTATTGCACCACCAAACGATTTACAAGCTCCTTTTCAATGATTTCCGGCTGAAATAAATAAATTTGGAAACAATTTCAAGGGCCGATCAAATCTGTACCAACAAACGAGGAAAACAAAACAAATCAAAGCAACGCTCAGTTCACCGTAATGCCAGAAGGGTCGCGTGTAAAAGGGGGGAGGTAGGGGAGCAAACAGTTGTCAGTGCGACTGGTGTCTCCAAAGTAAATATATGTAGGCGTTCGTTCATACTGAAGGGAAGAGTGAGGTTGGAGGAGAAAAAATCGCGCAGCCCGAGAGCTTTGGCCCTCCTCGCACACACAATGATGCAGGCGTGTGTAGGGGGATGTCGCACGCGTTTTATAGTAGGCAGAGGAGAGCAGAGTCGCGAGTTGTCGTGGGTGTCGGTGGGCTCGGCTTCGCGCGTAGGTACGCACCCACACACGAGTAGACACGGGGAGTACTGTTTTCCCCCCTCGCGAAGGACTATATAAAGGTTGGCGCGACTCGCGGCCACCCCACAGATTTCTCTTATCATTCGAGTCTGCGGTGCTCGCGGTAAACTTCACTTACAATCCGCCTTTTTGGCTCGCTTTGTCACTATTGTCCTTCTGTCTCGTGGTTCCTGTCTTAAGAAGATCTGTACCTTAGCTTG